TCCAGAAAGAACATCATAATCTTCTTCAAGAACTAAAAGTTATTCAAGATAATGAACATGCCCTTCAAAAAGATGCACTAAGTATTAAGTTGAAACTTGAGCAAATAGATAGTCATATTGCTGAACATAATTCTAAAATAAAATATTGGCAAAGAGAGGTGAGATTGCTACCATTAAGTTTAACCTTATACCTGTATGAAAAACGTGTGGGTTTTTTATTTTTTGAGGTATGCTGTAATTCTTAATTCTATGATACAGTATTCTATAATCACTTCTCAATATAAGGATAATGAGCAATAAATAGTAATAATTATATACAGAAAAATCTGAGTAATGGTTACACTGCTTTTTATTCCAGAGCTGATCTGGAGGTTTAACAAAATTTTGATCACATGAACACTTCTTATGGAACAACTATGTCTGTGGAAAGCTTTTGAGAAAAAAGTTGATTTATCACAATTCCTGTTTTCATAACTATGTAATGTTTTCATGTTTAAAAAATAAATTTTATTACTGTGTCTTCTTTCATAGATTTCAAAAATATCACTGCATCCTATAGATAATAATCCTGTTGAAGAAGTTTCTGTTCTAAGCCCAGAGGATCTTGAAACAATTAAGAATCCAGATTCTATAACAAATCAAATTGCACTCTTAGAAGCCCGGTGTCATGAAATCAAACCAAACCTTGGTGCCATTGCAGAATATAAAAAGAAAGTATGAATCAATTGTTTGAGTAATACATATTTTTGGTTCTTAGCCTAAATTATCACCTTTACTTTTAGACAATGAACTGTATTAATTTTCATCTCATATATATCTGAAGAGGTTTTTCTCAATCTTTTCACAGGAAGAATTATATTTGCAGCGGGTTGCAGAATTGGATAAAATTACTTCTGAAAGAGATAATTGTAGACAGGCATATGAAGATCTTCGAAAACAAAGGCTTAATGAATTCATGGCCGGGTTTTATATAATAACAAATAAATTAAAGGAAAATTACCAGATGCTTACTTTGGGAGGGGATGCTGAACTAGAACTGGTAGACAGCTTGGATCCTTTCTCTGAAGGAATTATGTTCAGGTTTGTATGGAGTCTTAAATACTAACTTTACCTATTTTTCAAACTTAATATTTCTTGATAAGATATGAAGGTGAGATCTATAACTTATTTTATTTGATGATAAATACTAGTTTATACAGGCGGCTTACAGTAAATATTATGTACAAACAAATATTTAATCTTTACAACCTAGTTTATATATTTTCAGATCTTCCCTGCCTGGTAAGCATAAGATTGTGAGTTCAATTCATGGTACCAAAAAAAATTTTTTTTCAAATCTTTGTAATCTAATGTCAGGATTGAAAATTTTTATTGGATAAAAGGAATAGTAAGAAGTACTTAATTGGCTGTTGAAATACTAAAATTTTGATAGCTAGTCTATATTAATCTTCTAGTAACGTTTTCATAAAATTACCCGAAAAAAAAGTTCGTATTTGTGAAAATCAAGTTAGATTTCCCAAGGAGGAAGGTAGTAGTGCTCGGTCATACAAATCAAATCATGGAGTCTTAGCCGGGCATGCTGGTGACTTCTAATCCCAGCACTATTAAGAGGTTGAGGCAGGAAGTTCACAAACCTACCACCAACTTGGTGAGACTGAGACTCTGTACCAAAATATGGCTGGGGCATATATATTGCTGAGTCAAAAAAAAAAAAAACCATGACTTTCCCCACCCTTCTGTACTGGGATTAAACGCAGGGCCTTAGGCGGACAAAGCTGATGTTGTACCACTAAGCACAGCTTCTTTTTAAATTTAATTCTGAGGCGAGGTTCTTGTTGCTACCCAGGGCCAACTCAGGCTTGATAATCCTCTCTCTGCCTCTTGAGTAACAGGGATTGTAGGCACCTAATTATAGGCACTGATTTTCTTAATTATTTCAGTGTTAGACCACCTAAGAAAAGTTGGAAGAAGATCTTCAACCTTTCAGGAGGAGAGAAAACACTTAGTTCACTGGCTTTAGTATTTGCTCTTCACCACTACAAACCTACTCCTCTTTACTTCATGGATGAGATTGATGCAGCCCTTGATTTTAAAAATGTGTCCATTGTTGCATTTTATATCTATGTAAGTAATCATGTACGTTTTAATTCTAGAAATTTTATGGTTTCCCTAAACATTGTTTGTGCAGTTTTGTTTTTTGATTGTTAAGCTTTTTCTGTGTTCTCTAACTCCATGAAGAAACCAAGTCTTTATTTGTACCAAGTATTTTCATTTTTGATGAGTAAAATATAAATTGACCATCCAAATGAACAGAACACCAGCTAGAATCCCAAGTCTCCTTCCTAGATCTGTTCCACTAGACTTGTAGGCAGTAATGCTTCAAAAAAATACCCCGATTTCTCTTATCTGTACTATCATTCTTATACATGTTAATTACCTACGTAATACTGAACTTAATGCCCAGGAAATAGAGAACTAAAGCTTGCCTGTTTATATGATTTACTTATTTAATATTCCTTTTTTTTTCTCTCTTTAGGAGCAAACAAAAAATGCCCAATTCATAATAATTTCCCTTCGAAATAATATGTTTGAGATAGCTGATAGACTTATTGGAATCTACAAGACATACAATATAACAAAGAGTGTTGCAGTAAATCCAAAAGAAATTGCATCTAAAGGACTTTGTTGAATTTCATCCTGAAGATTCAAGTTGAATTGGCATAGATGCATGGTATATTATTGATTTTCTATTGTAAGAATTATGACATATTCTATAAAATACATATTCTAACTGATGACCAAACTGTTTGTTTTATGATGTTAAGAATCATGTTACAGTGTCTAAAACAATGCTTCTCTGAGGCAGGAATGTTGCAATTTTAGCCCAGGAAATTTGTAATTTAGCAAGTCCCTGGGAATCTATCACACTATGAAGACCCTGGAATCACCACCTCAGTGGTTCCACCACCCAGTTTTGTTTAGTTTTGTTTCCTGTATACCTGTTTATAGGGAATGTTAAGAATGAACGAGAGATTTTTAAGATAGGATTTCATTTCACAATTCAAGATGGCCTCAAATCTGTGATCCCCCTGCCTCAGCCACTATATCCTATCACGCCCAGCAGGATGAGAGTTTTGTAAGACTGTTAAGAAAAATCAGATTCCTGTAGGGGCCAATGACTTGCCCTTTGTCCCAGAGTATTAAGTTTTTTAGTTGGGACAAAGTTCTAAAACTAGATCTTATTCTCCAAGGCTCAACATAGCTTCCATGGACATTCAACCTATCTTGGAAAAATTTTTAAAGCATTCTACTTGGTTTTCTGTGACAATCATATTACCCAAATAAAGGGAACCTTGTTTTGTAAACAGCCGTTTTTAATTTATAAAAATTTAAACAGACACTTCAAAACTTGGTGTGCTTTGACTATTTAAAATTTGTTGGAAAACTGAATGCAAAAACAATGTTTGAACATGATGATGCTACATTTCAAAGAATGAATACAGTAATAAGTGGAATATAAGATACCGTGAATGTGTTGTTTGACTCATGTCCGGATTTTTTATGTTGTCTCAAGAATATTATGAAAGTCAACAACCACCTGATGGAATCAAGTATCTTTACCCAAGCAATTTCTGGAAATTTATCCTTAGTTGACTCATTAAGAAGACTAATATTTAAATATCAGAAACCTGACATTTAATAAAGCCATTATAATGAATGAATAAGCAAACAAACATGTAAGGGATGTAGCTCACTGGCATAGTGCCTGCCTGGCAAGCATAAGGTCCTGAATTCAAGTCCTGATACCTTTAAAAAGTCATTAAAATGTGAACACAAAAATAGAAGTAAACTTAAAGCAAGTTCAGGCACAGAAGGAGAAAACAGAAAATGCTGTGCTTTTTCATTGGTGGAAAGTGAAATTTTTTTAGGATTAAAAATAATCCAGATCCATATGCAATAATCTTGGTTGGCCTCCAGTTCTATGAGTATTAACTGAAGAGGGGGTTGGTTCTCCCACATGGTAGCTTTGCATTATTCAGAAATAAAAGATTAAGTGCATAATAGCTTAACATTTTATTACTTAAACCCATGGGAGACTTTTGTGGTGTGGATAAAAGTTCAGGTGATGATAGTGCAACTTAAGTGCATTTGTAGAATTCTGTCCTAAGTGTCTCTTCACCTCAATTAATTACACTGGTTATTTGCACAATAATTGTTAGGTGTAGTGTGAGTCTAATCATAAAATGACCTCATGCTGCCATCTTAAATGTTAAGGCTTATTCTTAACAAGACCTTTGGAGTATTTTAGAACTAGCTTATAAACACAGCTGTGTCTATTCATTAGAACTTTGTGTGTATAAATTGTAAGATCAGGAGTATTTTCCTAATCTGACCAGGAAAATTACTGAATTTAAGGCTCCTAGAAAGAGATCCAAGAGCAGCCCGTCTGGGTACCTGGGAGTTCTGAAAAGCAAATTAGTTAGTGCTTAAGATGTGACAGATGATGGACTGAAGTACAGTTGTGGGTTAGGGTTAGAGTCCCTGCTAAAGCAATTAAAGAGCTCTGACTTAATGAAGTACATACTGTTCAAGAATATAAAATTAAATTGTTGGTACTTTTGTACTAGCACTGGAAACATCTGGCAGCAAAACGTAAGACCATTTTAAGGTGAATATAATTTCACATGATGCCATGAAAATCTGTTGAGAATGAAGTATGCAATCAACATCATTCTGTCCTAGGAAAATGTTTTATAGCTTTTAAGAAATTTGACAGAACGAGAGACATGCTTGGCAATAAGGGTTTTACCACTGAGCCTGAGCTACACCTTCAGCCTTCCTTTCCCTTCCCATTTATATTTTGTTGTTGCCAGGCCTGACCCTGAAATCTAGGAATGAAATGCCTTAGTCTCCCCTGTAGCTTAAGCCTGCACTACCACACTCAGCTCCCAAATGCCATTTTTAATTTATGTAAACTATAAAAACACTTAAGTATTAGAAATTGTCAAGATTATGCTTTATTTTGCTTTTTAAATTTTTTAAATAGGGTTATATCATTAAAATTTGCTTGTGTGGTTTAAGCCTCTTTTTACCCTCCTTATTCACACATTCAAAAGCTTCAAGCCACAAGGAAATAAAGGCGTGTATTTTGAGGATTTTCCACTTTAATCTAAACCATAGATATATACATAGACACCAGTAACATATGTAATAGACAACAGCAGTACAATATTTAAATGTCAGCAGCATTAAGTCAACATTCAAGCCAATACAAATGATTACTGATTACCAATATCTAATGATTTGAATTTTCACTGCTGAACCATCTTCAACGGAAGCATGGGAGGTCTAGCAAGTTTTTAGTTTGCTGGGACTCATTTAGTTTACCACTTACACCTTCTATTTCTCCAGTTAGCAATAGCCTTTTGTACAGAATAAGCCCAATTAATTTAGATTCAAATTTTCAAGGAGAAATTTTTCCAAATAAATTCCTTTAACAAATATAAAGTATGGCATAGCATGTTTTTTAAATCATGCAAATCATTAGATAAACTTTGGTAAGAGATTTCAGAAAAACACACTGAAGATATGTCATTTAAGAAGGCTATTACATACTGGCAGAAAAAGAGTATCAATATTAACAACACCGAAATGCTTAAAATTTGAAAAAATTCAACTTTTTTATCAGACCAGGAAGGTGGCATCCTTATTGAAGAAAGTTTCATTTCAGGAATGAGAGCTTTCTTAATTTCTCCAATTTCTGTTTTGCTCCATTCTTTTAATACTTGGCTTACTCGAGGATAAATTTCAACAGGTTGGACCTCCATGAGTGGTCTTTGTTTCAAGACCTGCACACGCTGGCAGATGTTCTCGATTTTTTCAAGAAATTTAAGTGGAGACTCTTCTTGTAAAGACGTTGTCAGTGTTATTAATTCAAGCTGCTGTTCTCTTATTTCTTTCATCCTTTCAATATGTGGAGTATATTCTTGATTTATCAGGTTGCCAACATCACAAAGAGATGTTATCAAACTTTTTTTCCTCTGTTCTAATGTATCAGTAAGCTCTTCAAAATACTGGAGAACAGCTTCTTTATTGCCCTGGACCATTTCCTGAGAATGGGACCTCTGTTCTTCTAGCTTTTCAATAAGATGAGTAATATCTGTCCAATGTGTGTCAGTTAACTGTTTCAGCAGTTTCTGAGGTGTGTCCTTTTCTTTCAGATAGGCACTCTGAAGGTCATCTATAGGATGACCACGATGTTGACCTACAGTAAGGCAGTGACCACAAACTAACTTTTTATCTAGTAGACAATAAACATTTAATGGTTGCTTATAATGTTCTGGGCAGAAAATGACGTCTGGATGGTCTTCTTGCTGGTACTTTTCAATAATAGCCCTTAATGCAAAATTAACAGGTAAAGATTCAATACCAGTTGGAGTAATTTCAGTAACACTTCTGCAATTAGGACACTTGAGTGGAATTCTTAAAGGTCTCCATATATAAAAATTACCAGATGCCTGAAGAACACTTTCCAAACAACTTCTACAAAATGTATGAGAGCATGGTAGAATACGAGGATCTTCAAAAATACTGTAACAAATGGGACACATTAACTCATCCTCAAAATTGTGCATTTCCTGTCGAGAAAAAGGAAAAGCAAAGTCTACATATAACAAATCCATCTGCTCATATTTTGTAAAGTTTTAGTCATTAACCTTCAAATTGTTGATACACTGATTATCATTTAAAAGAAAACTATTTACTAAGATTTTTAAAAATGAAGCTTAGTATTCAATTCCTAATATATGAAACCTAATCAAGAGCTTATTCTTTTTGAACAAAGTTCATCTAAAATTTCAGTATGTAATAAAATACTTCAAAAATTTGTTTCTATGTAATGAAGACTAAAGTTAGCTCAAACATTACATTAAAGTCTGCTGAATTATAACTACCATATGTAACTTTCTGCATGCTAACATGTTAAAATCAAACCACATGGAATGAACAGACAAAACTAAACATTTCTATTACAAATTAGACTTAATAAAATAGATTATTTAATGCAAAAGAAGAAAACATGCTCCCAGTTGACTCAATCATGGTTAAAAGAACATACGTATTTCTGTAGAAACTGAATTTTCTTACCTGCCTGAATTCAAACATAAGCTTAAAGACCAGGATCAGCATAAGGAAATACTTTTTGATAGGTGTGCTGGATAAAACCCAAGATCTCACATGCTAAGCAAGTGTTTAATATAAGTTACAATCAAGTTCCATAAGCAGCTTTAGCATGAAAATTTGGAAGGGAAAGCTTTTTCAAAACAGTTGTTGCAATAAAAGTGTTTGAAGGATGAAGAACTGATTATGGTGCTTTAGAAGTCCTGATTTAATTTTTAAATGAAAAACTAGAAGACAGATGTCCAATAGTCATCTTTTGTTCCCTGTGACAGAGACCCTGTTCTCACCCTGATAAAAGTAACATCTCTATAATCTATTCTGAGTATTTAGAAAAATCTGACAGTTTTATACTCTACCACCTCTTAGATTTTTCCTTTGTACATACCTGCATGAAAGCCATCCTCAGGACTAGTCAGTCCTGATATAGAAACCAAGCTAAACTACTGCTACGAGAATCTTAAGCCAAAAATATAAAAAATTCAAGCATCATTCGTGTAACATATGAAGTTATCAAATCTTACAAAACCTTTTAATCCAGGTGTACACACCTGTAATCCAGCACTCTGGGAGGGTAAAACAGGAGGATCACTCCACGAGTTTGAAGCCATCCTCCGCTACATAGGGAATTCAAGGCCAGCCTGGGCTACATGGTAAGACCCCATATCTCAAAAATATTTTAAAATTAAGTTTGTGAAAATAGCATCTAAAATAACTGCACTTTTAGTAAACAAAAATTTCAGACTTAGCTAGAGGTTCATCCTTAGCATCTACTAAACTCTATTCCATCCTTCAAGTCTAAATAAACCTGGCCTCTTCCCTGGTTCTCATTGGACACTTTTACTCAATATTTTAAACACTGTATATATATTAGAATGTAAGGGCTGTGGATACAGCTCAGTAACAGTGCTTGCCTGACAGGCACAAAAGTCCAGAGTTCAGTTCCAGCGATAACAACAACAAAAAAACAATGTAAGCTTCCTTAAAGGGCAGGAATTGTATCAGACATTTCTATAGTCTAAGCTCCAAACTTAAACACAGTAGACATTCAAGCCCTACCATTGAGTGAAAGGCTGCCTGGTAAGAGACCAGTATTAATACAGACCTTAGTTTTATTTCTTAGGAAAAGCTGTAACAATAGTTCATCAGAAAATACTCCATTTTATACTGACAATGTTCAGGTCCCAAATGAGCCAAATTGTGTCCTACAAAAAGAAACTAAGCTTCAACTATGAAGCTTTTTAAGAAACTAACTGAGCAACAGTACAGAAGACAACACTCATAGCAGATAAGTTAAAGTGCCCGGGTGCTGGACAGTCTTTACAACTATCCCTCACCTAGAGGGCTGTGAAGTCACAAAACCACCCCCAAGAAGCCAAACATGTTTTAGTGAGGGACAAACAAAATAGTACTTTACAAAAAACAAAATTTCAACAATGGACATTAAATCTAGAACTTTTTAATATATAAGTAACAAAATTAGCCAAAAAAGAAAAACTTTTCTAAGAAACTTAACTTTACCCTACTCTGTCCTTGTTAATAAATATGGGAACAAACTTCTCTGAAATTCCTTTTAGGAGCCTAAAAAGTTCAACTTTTGGGCACTTTCTAACCAGTTACTGCCTGCACAAAGTACAAGAATATAGGTGGCTATCTATCATGGTTAGGGGTTTTTTCAGAAACCAATATAAAACTTCATGCACCAAAAATTTTCTACAAGCCACCTAGAGGAAGAAAAAAAGACAAAACTTTCTAGGTTGTACTTTCTAGGATAAACCTCTTAGATTTAGCTATGCTGTATAATATCCAGATAATGAAAACATCACTAACACTGGAGACTAGAAGACAATGAATGCCTTTGATATTCAAAGGGGAAGAAAAAAGATTTACTCAAGTGGGACTGAATTTATGCCCCAGAAAAAAATCCATGTTGATGCAATTTGACATGAAAGTTCTCAGACGAACCCCGGACAACTCTTCATGAAGTACAAGGAGGGAGAAAAAAAGGGTAACAGTTCAGGACAACTTTACCGATCTAGAGAACAGGCAGGGCTTTGTTTTGTTTGTGTAGTAAGGACTGAATCTGAGGTTTTGGACCAGAGCTAGTCCTTTTTATTTTTCTTTTTTTTTTTTTTAAAGAAAGAGTTTCACTAAGTGAACTGGCTAGGCTGGGCTCAAATTTGCTGTCCTGCTGTCTCACCCTCCCAGTGCTGGGATTCTAAGTGTGTGCCACCAAGCATGAGCAGAAGAGCTGTCATTAAATAAATAGAATGGACAGAATACTTCATGTGCTTAAAGGTAGAGGGCAAAAACTAAGAAAAAAGGAATAATCATGAAAACACCAAATACCATAGTGGCCTATCTGCCAAGTTAACATAGTCCTAAGTATCAAATACTGTACTGATTTTTACAGGAGTGACAACTTCTGTGAGGGAGAGCGGTAAGGGAGAAAACAGTTTATAAAATCTTAATCTTCCCTTACACGAAAGTCAATAGTTTCTAATGAAAAAGACAGTACAAGCATATTGAAATACAGAAGTAAATACCAAAAGATCAGTTTGAAGAGATGTGATGATTGCTTTTGGAACAGGAATCAGAAGTAAAAAAAAAAAAAAAAAAAAAAGTGAGACCAGGGGTCTTCTGTTTTTCATTATATGTAAGGTGATTTCACTTAACATGCAATTAAAAATATAATAAAAGGTTAGTTCCACATGGTAGGTCATGCCTATAATCCCAGTAACTCCAGAAGCTGATGTTTACAAGTTTGAGACCACCCTGGGCAACTTAGACTCTCATCTCAGAAAGTAAAAGAGAAAGAAAATATATAACATAAACAGATGAAAGACAGATAACCCTATAAGCATCCAAGCGGAAAAGCAGGATGAAAAAAAGGAAAATTTTAAAAATGGTCTTAAATGGTCTGGCAGATTGTAATTTCCTAAGAAAACAGATACACACAACTTAGTTCCCACCTACGCTCTTCTATAGAATGAGTTTTCTGTTAATTCATTCAGACATGAAATCTAATAGAAATCTGTGGAGACCGAAGGTCTGCTTCTACCCAGCAGAATACAATTTAAGTAATCCTTTGCTTTCTTGATATAGCCATTAAGAAGCCAGGCAATCAGCTGCTATGTTAAGAAGTCCAGGCTACTTGGCTGAAGAGACACTAGATGGAAGATAAATGAAATGCTGGAGATCTTAATGAAAAAGCCTTCTTACACATGCAGATACTTGCACAAAAGTACACAACCAGAACATATCTAAAACAAGGAGGAAGCCAGGCATGGTGATGCAAGCTTGTTATCCCAGCACTCTGCAGGCTGAGATAGGAAGACCGCAACGGGTTCGAGGCCAGCCAAGCTTAGCCTGCAGAGTAACTTGGAGGCCAGTGTGGACTACACAGCTAGACCGTTTCAAAAATTAAAAATAATAAAAAAAATAAGGAGGCGTACTCGATGATAATGTGGCCAACATCCATAAGGTCTGGAAGTAAAAGGATTTGTGAATTTCTGTTCACATTCAAGATGTAATTCATTTATGTGAAACAAAACATTCTTGGCAAGACCCAGGTTAAACAATTCCACAGGGCAGAGGTGAAGCCATACCTCCCATATTTAACAAAAAGAACATAAAATGACGGTTCAACTGAAAAAAGCCAGGCATGGTGGCCAAGCTCAGAAGTTTTAAGATCAGCTGAGCAACACAGAACACCTTTCAGGGAATTAAAAAAAAAAAAATGGAGCCAAGTATGGTGGTACATACCAGTATTCCTGTCACTCAAAGCTGAGGCAGAAAGATCTCCATGGGTTAGATGCCAACCTGGGCTGTGTAAACAAAACATTAGCTACCTGTGACAGGCAGTTTTCTTTTTTTAAGCAGCTTCTAAAATGGCACCCAATGAACTCTACCTATTGGCTACTAGGTTTTGAGATAATCTGTTATGCAGCAACAGATTAATACACTACCCTAAAAAAGACAAAAAGAGCACAAGTACAGTTAACACTGAGAAAAGGAAATCAAACAAGAAAAAAGCCAGTTATACATTAGAACTTACAAAGCTGTACACTAGTATGTGTAACAGCTTATAACAAATGAACTATTCCCTAAGTCAGTTCAAAGTATCAAAAGTGACCCAAGAATATAACGTAAACTATGGGAAAATTTTACTGCTTTGCAGAGTGTTAATCTGAAAAAAAACTGGAGGAGAGGGAGGCAAGCTCTTCTGATGAGTTCTTTCAAATGTTCAAGAAACAATTTCTTATTCACCGGTACCAGAAGACCAATATAGAAGTTTGCAAACCTCAAAGAGCCGGCACAAACTAAAGTAGGATAATTTCAAAAATGAATACTGATGTAAAATCCTAAATACAAAATCAGCAAAAATCAATCAAGGAGTACATTTAAAGAAAACTACCACAACTGGACTGGCTATGTAGCTCAGCAGTAGAACACATGCTCAATGGGTTCAATCCCTGGTGCCAAGAAAAAGTGCTATGATAGTTCTCTCCAGAAATAGTTAAATCAACAAAATCTATTAATTCACTCATTTAAGTGCCTAGAGAAAAGATGTATAGTCATACTAAAAGCAAAAAACACAGGTAGTACAAACATGAGTAAGTAATCCACAGACAAAGGAGAACAGTGGTTCCAGGCAGAGAAAAATAAGTGTTTAATGCATAGTTGGAGAAGATAAAAAAAGGCCTGAAGACAGAAGGTCATTCTGATATGCAACGCCACCAACCTGTACAGTTTTTAAAAATGGTTTAATGGGGCTGGGGATTTAGCTTGCAGACAGTCATGAGTTTGATCCCTGGTACCGATAAAAAGGAAAAAGACCAAAAAGAAAAAAAAAAAATGGTTTAATGGTAAGTTTATGTTACACACATTTAATAATAAACCTAAAAAAGTGTTTCAACTGTCTTATTATTTAGCCTCTCTTCTGCCAAATTTTAGAATCAATGTATTAACTTATGGTTTTAAACATCGAAAACTAAATTTAAAGTAACCCATGCAAAATGTATTTTCCCCTATTGAATATTAAAAGCCAAAGTAAAACTGGACTTAGTTCAAGATTTCTGGCTTCCTTATAAGTCACAAAAATATGAACTTGTTTTTAAATCTCAGAAAGAAATCTGAGGCTAAATTATCTACTTACAAATTACCTCACAAACCTCTTATGTTCAGTATGAAAAACAAACACAATGTCTAACACAGTGTCTAGCACATTAGATCACATACTAATTTACAGGTGACAGAATTAAGCAATACCAAAAATATTACCCATTCTCCTGTGTAAACTATTTTTAAGTTTTAATTCACTAATACCTTATTGCTTTTCATTTCTAAACATGACTGACTATGAAACATTACATATCATAACTTCTGAAAAGAAATTCTATTCACCCCATTACAGGTTTAAATAATTTGTGAGGACTTCCGCTGAGCCAGCTGTGAAGTCTGAGAAAACTGAGGTGGGTACTACCCGGAGGGTAAGGGTTCACATGTGGACCTGATTAAAAAAATACATTTCATGTAATTCGAAACAAAAAACGCTACAACTGCACCAGCTCTATACATACTTTAGTAAGATTTTTTTTTCTTTTTTGGTACCAAGGATCGAACTCACGACCTCGTGCTTGCCAGGCAGGAGCTTATGCCGCCGAGCTAAATCCCTAGCAGATAAGATTATTTTTAAATGCCTTTGTCACATACAAAAATAATGGAAGCATCACGAATAATGCTTGCAAATTAAAAAAATAAGCCTACTCAGATGTAATTTTAACTCTTTGGCCGTCTGTACTGTTTTCTTTCACTCTGCTATCAACCCATTTCCCCCAAACAACAACAACAAAAATTTAACAAAATTTCTGAATCACTTTTTTTTACACTTACAAAGTGAAAATATGTTTGGCAGAAAACATTCAGCAAAACAGTTGCTTAAAAGGCAATGTCATTAAAAGGCAACTAACAAGGGGGTGGGGATTTAGCTCAGCGGCATAAGCGCCTGCCTTGCAAGCAGGCAGTTGTCAGTTCGATCCCTGGTACCGATAAAAGACAAAAACAAAACAAAACAAAAAAAAGGCAACTAACATTAAAATCAAAATTTCTGAACTAAACTTTGATACCACCAGTTCACTTAAAAAAAAAAAAAAGACCAGCATGTGAATGATTAGAAAAATATCAGATAATTTAATAAATGCAATCTGTATGTATAAAATAATGCCGTGCTGAGATATATAAATCCTTGTACAATTTCTGTAACGCTATGTAAGAATTCATAATGGGGCTGGGAATATAGCTCAGCAACCACAAGCTTGTGAGTTCAATTCTCAGTACTTAAAAAAAAAAAATTCATAACGACCGCCTTTGAGGAAAGTGTATGTCAAATTGAGGGAGCTGCTTGCTTTCTGCTTTTCCATAAGGTGGTGTGTTGTAGTATATCTTTTCTCAATGATTTTTAAATTTCACCTTACAGTTTAAATCACTCGGTTAATCTCTTAGAACTTACCTATTTTGTTGGTTTCCTGATAAGGATACTGGATATGCTTTTATCTTCTCCAACTTTTCCAGTTTCTCTTATTCCAAAATTAATTTTATCCTTAGTGTTTCTCAGATTTGTGTACTCAAACAGTACACCACAGAAATGGTCGTAAGCTCACTACTTTTGATGTTTTATTTCCTTACACCTGTTTTAAGAAAGACAGTGGCAGGTACTGAGTTACTGCAGCTACAACAGAGGTATTAGTTGCATCTTGAAAATCTCAACACTTTTGTAACACAAAAGATCTCTTTTTACAGCATGAAGTATCTTACGAGTGCTCAATATTAACCAACATGCTGATGACGAACCATCGTTCGCGGCCGTTTTAGGTTGCTTAAATTTAACAGGAAGGCAAGAAGCGTCCGTGGGAGTTAAAGATGACCAGCTGAAACCTTTTCGGTTTGGGTCATTCTCCTCAGCACGCTTTTCCATCTCCCCGTTCTGCCACTGAAGCGCTGCGGGACTCCAGCCCAGTTTTACTCCACACCGCAAAGCCGAACTTTCCCGTCCGTAAAACGGGCACAGCACCCGCCCCCGCCCAGCCGCTCTTCCCTCCTGGCGGAGGCGCCCGCGCTGACCGGCTCCGGCGCCCACCGTCGTCTCCGTCCTCACGCCTCACAACTCCCGAAAGAAGAGGGATGCTGGAAGACAGTCTCTGAGGCGTCCGGTCCGTTCCCAAACGCCTCCAGAGTCACCGGGAAGAACCGGGCGTCCAGGAAGCGCCCTGGTCCGCGGCAGAGCACGGCAGGACGCGGGCGGGGCAGGGGGCGGGGCTTAGCGAGAAAAGCGCGCGGCGCCGTTTGAAAGTAAACGGCAGGCGGCTGCGGAGGCGCGAGCCCGGACTCCACGCGCGGGGGCGCCCGGCCTTTCTGCGCCTGCGCGCCGCTGGCCGGCTCCGGGCTGCCGACGTGGGCTGGCGCCAGGGCCCTGACGACGGCGGGCGAGGCCGGCCTGCGGCGGCCCACGTCCCTCGCAGCGATTTCGTGGGCTGACGCGGCCGCGTGGCCCTGGTTGCGCGTGGAGAGGACGGAGCGCTAGGGGCTGTGCGAAGCCCTTGCCCCTTTTCACTTCCTGAACTCGGGAGGTGACGCGGGTTGCACGCAACTCTTTTTTTTGTGGGGACTGGGAGTCGAACTCTGGACCCCGCGCTCGCCAGGCAGGCGCTGCACCCCATCCCCAGCCCGCCAAATTCAAGTTTCCGATCCGCCTTCCTGACCCCTAGAATCAGCGACAGCTCAGTGACCCGTTTCCTTTTTATTTTTCTTGGGAAACCATTCATCTGTTGAGACCTCCACACATTCTCACAGCTTCCCGCCTCTAGTGGATGCTTAAAAGGCGTCTTAGTTAGTGCTGTAGCAAAAGCAGGACTTGGAGTATGGAGTGTGGCCAGTACATTCAGAGCCTAGGGTTTTATTCAATAGATTACAGAAAAACATTAAACGAATATAAAGCAGAAGTCAAAACAATGGCAGACACGACTCTCAAGTCTCCAGTTCAACCACAGAGGCTCTCCTGAAAGGCTGCTTAGGAAGTGAGGATCTGGGCACACCCAGAGATACCCGGTTTCATGCTGGTATAAATCTGTTTCCACTTTATTATAAACATCGGGGTCCTCCCCATCACTTACTATCAGTCTGTCGTGAATCTTTCCAGAATAATAAATGCATATACTTTTCTAAAAATTATTCTCCTTCAAGGTGTAATTGCGTATCGTATAGGATGGAATGAATATGGCTGAGTGTTAATGTTTTGAGATAGTTTTTCCACCTGGTTTCTCCTCTGCTTCCTTATTGCTAGAGTTATTACATGTTGCAAGAAAGAAATAGCTCTGGAAGATAGATGTTTTCCAGAAAGCCTGAACCTCTTGAGAAAAATAACATTTAAGGGAAAAGCTAAATGTTTGAGAGAAGCAGATTCCTGGGGTCCTGGTGGTGGGGCCAGGAGTTATGACGTGGAAAAGAGGCCACACCTGTATCTCCAGACAGCCAGGAGCCGACGGAAACAGGCAGCCTAGGCAGTGGCCACCAACTGTGAGGACTGAGTGATTCATGCACTCCATAAAAGTTAACACTGGGCTGTAAGGGTCCATGGGAGAATTGACACGAGTGCAGGAGTAAATACTTAAAATCCAGGGGCTGGGGATTTAGCTCAGCAGGCATAAGTGTCTGCACCTGCCTTGCAAGCAGGTAGTCGTGAGTTCGATCCCTGGTACCGATAAAAAGGAAAAAGACAAAAAAAAAAAAAAAACCTTAAAATCTATAAGCTTAAAATCACATACGAAGATGCGTAGGACCCTTAAAAAGGGAGAGTGGGGAAGTCCAGCTGTTCAATTCCAATAATAACCTTTTAACAGAATATTGGAAAAAGATGATAAAAAAAACTTTCAGTTACTATCAGATACTGGAAGAAGAAGCAAAAAAACAAATTTGGGGACATTTTGGTGCTCAGGGCAGACTCCCTGCTTCTTCTGTCTCAAGCACTACAACAGCAATCTGAATGACAGGGAAAAGCTATCTAGAATAGCTAAAACACTTGGCGGTTTTGGTTTTTGGTTTTGCTTTTTATGATATGAAGGACCGAATCCAGGGCATTCCCACATAATTACATCCTTAGCCCTTTTTTATTATAAGACCCAGTCTCAGTCACTGAGGTGTGCCGGCTGGGCTCAAATTTGTGATCCTGCCTCAGCTTCCCAGAGTGCTCAGATTCCGTTTAATTTGGGGTTTTATTAATAGCTTCAGATTTTAAATCTCCCACCACATTGGCCTCAGTAGAATTAAAGACAACTTGTGATTTTTCAGTTGGAAGGTTCCTGTAGTTCATTTCTGATTTCAAAGAACAGACAGCTGCAACTAGTTACAGTTGCCATGGTTACTGTAAGTGATGCCTGTAACTGCCATGGTTACAGTGCCAGTGAACCAGGGGCTCTGAGCTAGAATCTAACAGTTTATAAAATGTCATTTTACCTGGAAAAAAGAGCCATAGCTTTATGAAGCAGTGAGAGAGAGATTTGGACTTGGAAGAGATCTTGAAGGCAATCTTGAAAATTTTCAGAAAAGGAAAAACTTGTCAATGTTGGTTTCCCTTAAACTGATTTTGGGCCCAAATTTACATATTAGTGCTCAAAATAAACCACACATTTTTAAAACCCTAGGCAGTAACTTGTATGAAGAATTTATTTTCACATAGACCTCAAGCTGTATCCTAGAATGCAAGTTGGAAGTTGATAAAAATGTTTCCTTCAAGTATCAGTTACCTCCTACGAAGTTTTCTTTCTTACTGTCTACCATTAAAAATCATCGAATTTCAAATGCCACTAATTGCATTTGCTTTAATGATGTTGGCACTTACCCAGTTTTCTAGAACTGTGTAAATTTTACACAAGCAGCATTTAATTATGCAGATATTTTGAACTTCAAGATTTTTTATAAATCATAGCATTTCTATTTGCTACAGTATTACGTGACTTTCTAATTTTTCTCATCAAACAAGTGCAATATTTGTTAGTTGCCTAATGCAATATTAGAAATGCAAAGAACAAGCTGGGCTTAAAGGCACACAGTTGTAATCTTGCACTCTGGGAGGCTGAGGCAAAAGGAGCACCAATTCAAGTACTGTCTGCACAATTTAGAGACACGGCAAGGCGGTGTCTCAAAACTTAAAAGGGATGTGCAGGTGTTGGGTTCAATACCAAGTACAAAAAAAAAAAAAAAGCAAAGAATATAGCTCCTGTACTCAAGTTGCTATACTCAACTGAGCTAACATACAAACATAGTTAAATGGCAATATTAGACAAACTGGGACCAGCAGCTCAGATTGGAACAGAGCTCCTCTAATTGCAGGTGCCTGGTGAGCAGGCAGTTAAAGTGGCACCCTGTGATCATCCGTCCTGAGAAACCACTGAGGCATTTCGGGAACAGATACAAATCTGACAGGCTCTCTCAGCACCCGTTAATGACAGGCTGTCACACCTTTTAGAGGAGAGCCTGCTTCCCACACTCAACAGGGTGGGACGTGAGACAGCGAACTGAGTCCAGCGCTGGACAGTGCCACCCTTGTGGAGCTGCCATCACAGCTGAAAATTAAGAAATGTTTATCTTTTGCGTTTTGAAGAGTATGAGTAGTGAACCGCCTCTGTCGTTTCAGCCCTCTACTGAGAGAGACACTGCCCGCGTTTCTCAGAGGACTACAACAGTACTTTTCTACTTCCAAAGACCCCGCTCTCCCTTCAGCACATGGTGAAGCGCACACGTCACCCTGAGTATTCAGAATGACAAATGGCAAATATGTTTGTGTGCTAAGGACTCGAAATTGTTCATATGGATGGTCACATATCCAGTCAGCTCTCACAGGGTCCTCTGTGTGCTTGGCTTCCACTTGTGCTGTTTCAATCAACTATGGATCAAAATTATTTGGGGGAAAACCGTATCTGTACTGAAGACGTACAGATATTTTCCTATTATCCTCTAGTGGAGCCTAAAACTATCTCCTTAATGTTTACCTTATATTAGGGATTTTAAGTAATCCAGAGATGATGTGAAGTACATGCAAGCATGTGCATGGATGTTGTGCAAATGCTACCCCATTTTTTCATAAGAGACTGGAGCATCTGCAGAATTTGGCATCTCTTTGGGGGAGAGGGGACCTATGGAGAGGTCACTATGGAAGACAGAACGTTGCCTGTAATTCTCTGCGGGGTGCCTTTAATGTTCACAGTAACCACAATTTGCCATTTAGGAAAAAAGTTTAGGCTGATGGGGTGTGACTTAATTTGAACTCTGCATTATTTTTTCAGATGGTAACGCTGAATATAGAAGTAAGTTTTAGCACATTCAAAAAAGGAAAAGGTTGCAGTATGCATGTAATAACCTTAAACTGCAATGGCTGCCACTCACTGAACACTTATTACGAGCTAGGCACTGTCCTAACTCATTTATTGTTTATTTGTTTGTTTGAGACAGGGTCTTGTCACTTACTCCTGGCTGACTTTCAACCATGTAGTACAGTCTGATCTCAAACTCGTGTGCAGAGGCTCCCGCCTCAGCCTCCTGAATGCTGGAATTACAGGCATGAGCCACCACACCAGGCTGTTCATTATCTTACTTAATCCTCACAAATGCTCTATGAAAGTTTTTATTTTTTAAACTTCTAAATGAAATATTAAAAACCCACTGTCCTATCATTTTATAAAGCAAGAACTAAATGCTAGCAAAATTAACTCCCTCAAGGCTACTCAATGTGGTTCTCTCATCCCAAAGTACGAGGTCTTCACTGCAGTCTGAGTGCTTTTATCTTCTTCCTCACGGCCCTGCCCCAACCTGTGCCAGGAACTGAATCCAGATTCCTGTGTGTATTAGGTGCTATGGACTAAAGACTGGTGGTCAGTTTAACACTGCTGAATTAAATCAGCACGGTGCTGAGTATATATGGCCACCTGAGGAAAGCTGCCAGCATAGAGACATGGAAAGGAGTAGGATTAGTGTGGTGGGTTCTCCTAAGTGTTGTTATTTAGAGCTGTTGGTTCTCCTGGAGGAGCTCGTCATGCTGGCTTCCCTGAAAAGAACTCAGCCATTATCAGCAAAGGAGCTTGGGACCTTTGGCTGAGAGTGGCCCTGGTTTATTTTGGGAGAAACTTTGGTCCTTATGTTGAGCATTACTTCCTGGCTCCAGAGGGGAAGGTGTGTGTTGTTTAATCACCAGAAATTGTCACGCTGGCTTTCTGACATGTACTCGACTATTACCGTCATCACAGGAGTTCAGGATCTTGTCACTGAGGATGGCTGTGATACAAAGGGAGCCCTGG